GTTGATAGGAATAATAACAGTTGTGACAAACCTTATGCTTGCATGGCAAAAAATTGAAGATGTCTTAATAAAGCTGGAATAAACACTAACATAAAAGGGATTTATCTCTGAAAAAAAAAATAACAGAATGATAAATAATCTGTAAAACTTCAAAAGTAACCTTCCCAACACTGCAACAGAGAATGTTAATGACTCAAGAGGGAAGGATATCGAGGGAATGATAACAGTTGTTTAGATAAAGCAAAGTTAAGGGAAGGATATAATGACACACAGGAAAGAGAAAGGTGGCAGTTGTCGGTGGGTAGGAGGGGATTGCACAGCTGGTGGTTGGTATAAAGAATTGGGCAGAAGGACAGAGAGACTGACTGAGGAGAAGGAGAGATAGTTGACTTTGGAATCTTTAAACGCTGCTGAGGCAGAACAGGAGGCGTTATGTAAGCATCTATTAGTGTGTGTGAGCAAGCGATAAAGCATTTTTCTGCAGCCTTGCCAGAGCTGCGCAATGAGAGTTTCCTTCCCTTGTGATAAGCATTTCTTTCCCTGTCCTTAAGGCATCTTGCCCGAGGACACTATAAAAACTGACATATACACTAGCGAACACGAAAAAGCAATCCAGGCCTTTTAACTGAACATGTATCCAACACATAATATAGAGAGCAGTGTTTTTACAACAGAGCGCTGTTTGCAGAAAACATTCCTGCATGCCTCCTACGCTCCTCCTCACTTATGAAACTGAAATGAAATTTTGCCTCTCTTCTTCACCGCATATCAGGAGATGATTAATGTCTCATTAGAGCTCTGTACACATACACACACAGTGCAGATTCCCCCCCATTAGTCTGCGCTTCTTCCAGAGACCTTTATTAGTATTAAAGAAGGAGTGATTCAGAGACAGCCACAAAGGTGCACCTTGAAAACTTTTTACTTTGATAGTAGATCCTCATTCCTCCGTGCCCCTCCAAATCAGTAGACAGTAAAGCTGCATAGTTAGATGATAAGCTGTCTGCTACAATCCTCTGGGGTTATAAATCACCTATGTAGCTCATAACCCAGATCCTGAGGCTGACCTAGCAGACATTCCAGATGCCTGCTTGCGTCCTGATCTGACCCTCCCCACTTGCATGACTCCATTCATTGAAGATGACCTTTAACCCCTGCCTGTCAGTGCAAGAGGTTTAACCTCTTGTACTCTGGAGAGAAGAAAGGAGGCTACGAGCAAGGATGAAAATGTACCTTCTAATTCAGAAGGGATTTTTCAGACATTGATTTTATGAAAAAACAAACATTTTTAACACACAATTACCATTTAATGTCCTAATTATAAATGAAATCATGTTTGATTGCCATATTTTGAAAAATAACAACAGTACTATTCAGCATTAACCAAATTTAGCAACAGATGCAGCTGAACCAGCACAGCGAGTTTGTTTGGACCAAAGACAGGGCAGATATCTTTTTTAGCTTTTTAATAGTAGGACTGACTTTTAAGTGTGGTCGTATTTCGTTTTTCAGCATAGTGCTGAGAAAGATGTGATTAAAAATTGTCACCCTGTCTGCAAAAGACAGGAAGGAAATCCCTTCACAAGTACTTCCCACTATTTAAAAAGAATCAAAATGGGAAATATGACAGTTTGCCAGTCTGACTTGTTAGCACATTGCCAGCGATATAAACTGAAGCCATCTTTGTAACCAACACTACATGTTGTCCTGTTGCTGCATGTGTAATGTGTGTTTTTTTATGTGTTTTAACAGCACTGCAATAATACTGATAACGGTCGTCACTTTCCTCACTTTAACACTGACATTACGGTAATTTTTTTTAATCTCTAATCTGGAAACCCTAAAGTGTCATTTCAAGGCAACTATGCAACTATATCTCCCTCAATCAGGACGAAATGTCAGCACCCTGAATGTGGGTTAGACACCTCCACACTACAGTGGGGGTGGGTTAGATGTTCCTCTGACCTTCAACAATCACCAGTAATGTCTCCTTTGGGAGAAGTGTATTGGTAATGAGGTGGATGAAGGGGGATTGAGAGGTGATGAACTACATTCTGCCTGCTCGCCAGACCTAAAACCTGCTGGTGATTCTTATACAGAGTGAGTCAGAGGCCGGTCAGTAATTATGTTAAAAACAGACCTGTGTTTTTCCCTCCTGGTGTCTTGTTTATGCTGATTCTATGTTTTCCATTCATGTTACCCTACTGTGGTAACGGTGTACCTGACCAAGGACCGATAAGAGAAAAGCTTTTCATATCGCAACAAAACAGCCCCGCCCCCTTCACTTCTTAGAGCTCTTTTAATGTTCATTCAAACTGGTCTTTGTTCTGTTATCAGGGTACTAGATCTCACACTGATGACTACTGACAGGTTGACGTGGTATACTTAGGATGTGGGTGAAAGGGAGACTTTGCAGAGCGAACATAAAAAAGAGAGTTAAAAGGAGACACACACACTAAGACCGCAGCTGACAAGACAGGTGGGAATGTTTAAAAATGTGCTGCAGTTTGACTATGTTTAGATGACCATAACCATTTGTGCCCAAGTAAATGTGCTGATTCTTCCTCTTCCTTCCTGCAAGATCTTTGTCCAGGCTTGTCTAAGGAATAGTGACCTACTTTGCGGCATTTGCAAAATAACAAGACAAGGTGTAAAAGTATCAAGTCGTATTGAAGAAACAATATGCAACTGACAAAGCAGTTAATATAAAACACACAGAGGACTGAGTGACATCTTTAAAGTAAGTTCTTTTTAAACACAGTTAATCCTGTCCCACACTGACGGTATTACCCAAGTCGGTGGCGAACCAATGAAAATAAATGGCTTTGTTGACATAATCTAACGCAAGGCAAAGAGTGCTACAAATGCACTGGGGGTTACACCCACATAGACAACTACCACTTTCCAACTGTGGCCAACACTAGCAGAAAAAACAGGTACCTTACACTGCAGCGCAGTGCTGTTACTTTGTGAAGGTCAAAGCCAGATTTGTCAAAACCAAATTACTGTGAGTGGGTTTGTGTGGCAATAAGAGTTCCCTTTTAAAGTGCTCTTATAATTTGTGATGAATACCACATGCATGCACATCTGGGTAACAGAGAGAGCTGAGATGAGCCAAGAAAATCAAACAAGCATTATGAGCTCTCCTACTAGAATCAGTACAAAATTCATTTTACGTAGAGATATATGTATTAGCTACCAAACAATAAAATATTGATAATTTCATATTACCAATATTATCTTGAGAGCTGGAAGTTCAAGTTTCAATACTTTCTTATGTTTTATAGAGCAAACAACTAATGAATCAATCACAGACCTAGTTTAAATCCAAATATGAATAACGACTAGGTAAGCAATTTCATGGAGAGAGAGAGAAAGGAGATTCTATCACCAGCAAAACCAGTTGGAGCAGAGTAGAGACTAGAAGTTACTCCGAAAGGTCAATGGAGCAACAAAGAGGCCTCGCTAATATCACTGCGCAGTTATATAATGTTATGCAACCTCTTTTAGCCACTGCATAGTGTCAACCCAGACTGTGTTCTTGTGCCTTGTGGAGATGAAAAGAAACATAAATGTTTCTAAACTGAACAGATCAGTAAAAAAAAAAAAAAGAAGAAGAAGAAGAAAAGAAAATAGAGCCATTTTGTCTTTGTGTAACACTATCACCCTGGTTTTTAACGCACGCTCAGTCTTGCATGTTCCCAGGAGACACTCCCTCACATCATACATGATCAGCAGCACGTGAAATTCATGTGATGATGAGAGAAGGACGGAAAACAGTAAACGTGCGCTGTGCAAACCCCCAGACCCATACAAAAACGATGCCTGCTTACTATTTGTACCGATGAATGTTATTACATTTGCAGAAATTATCATACAGAACCTCTTAAAGAACTGTGACATTTGCATATAAACATATTCAACAAGAAGGTGCTCAGTTTTTATACAGCTAACAGGTATTTCAGCGTGAAAGTGCAGTCTGACAGGCAAACAGTTTTTGGACACGGACAGTAACCCCAGCAGTTGTATAAAAAGAAGGAAAATGCTCTTAGGCACCACCTACAGCCTCTCCCAGTCCGCTTTAACTGTTACATAATCACTTTAGTGCAGTAGGCTTGTCCCAGGGTGCACGTTCTGCATGTATGTTTAACGAAGACCAATCACAGAAGGCTCTGGGCAGGAATACTCATGTGTCTCTGTGTGAAAATAGTGTGAAACAACTGGAGGAAAAGCAAACTGCAATGCACATGAAACATCTAATAAAATACACTCACTCGCACACACAGCAAAGGTGCATTTTACTGCCTGACATACAGTGAACACATCACGCTGATATATCCACTAGCCCGTCAAGAGAGGGTCAACAAAGATGGCATTGAGCTTAGGTGCAATCAATACATTTAGACATGTGAGTAGTAAAAAGAAAACTTTCCGAAATCTAGATAATGGAGTTATCAGCGAAATGCACTGTGGCTATTTCATGCAGTCTCCTTTTCATTTGGTCAAGCGCTTGAGCAATCCTGGCCCTCATAAAGCTTTGGCTCTTTTAAGACAAGTTTCGAAACCATTCTGGATGAAATACCAAACATGCAGTCAGTTAACCAGCACGCCCCCACACCATTCATGCCCAAACCACTGTACAGTTTTAGCCAGATGTCGAAGCATTGGCAAGGAACAGAAGTCCAGAGCTGTGCATGAAAACTGCCTGCAACACTTTTATCACCACACATTCAGTGCCAAACTAGTAGTGGGATGGGGGCTTAATAGAGGTAAGGGCACAAAATCTGGTTTGATTGTTTACAATGTGCTGCATAAATCTATAGCTACAATCTATTCACATATGCCCAAGCTTGTGAATGAATGCAAAGATAAAAGTAGGAAACACATCAGATAACTATATTTCTTGAAGTTCTCTTTCATGCAACAAGGAACACTAGAGAAAAGAAAACCAAAGATTCACCAAGTGTCCATGACTATAGATGACATCAGCCTCTCCATACCTGTTTCTGGGGACAGGGATGTGGGATGATGAGAGGGAATATCTCTCTGTCTGTGGTAGGATCTGCCCTTGCGCTACTCTGAAGTTGCTGGTCGGCTCTGGCTGCTTCCCAGGGTTTCTGATGTCCAAATGCATAAAGCCACCCGGCAACTGCCCGTTTACACCCAGGCAGTGAGTGGGGCTTGCCCTTTTCAGGATCCCCGTGGAACCTGTGTCTTTTTGGTCCAACAGGCCATTCTAGAAAATGCAGCAAGAAAAAATTACAGTGAGTTTATCTCTGTTACAATCAGGCCTCGATTAAAAACATTAAGTCTAGCAATACCATTAAGTTCTTATTTAACTGAGCATAAGATTACTGTTTTTGGTGTTTTTTAGTGTAACCGTTTGCCTTAAATGGCAACTTCTTTAATTTTTCCTTCCTCTCACTTAATAAACCCAAGGTTATTGTCCTCTCCACTGGACATGAACGCTGCTGAACCAACCAGAACAGAAGCAATCCTGGGTTAGAATATGGTTATCATTTCTGTTCCTGCCACCTAAATTACAAAACAACACAAATCTAGAAAAGTAGCTGTGTAAATCTGCTAAATACACATAACTGCCAGGTCCAGTGTCCAGTTTTGTGTATTCTGCGATGCAAAAGGAAACTCTATTGAATATTACATGATAATATAGGAAAATAACTAGCATGTACAGTGTAAAAGTAACTATATGCCTCATTGTGTTATATATAACTGATTAACCACTAACTTTATAAAATGTTACAAATATACTTTGGCAGTCCAGAACTGCTTTCCACGTGCTTTTTTCAGATTTAAAAAAGTTTTTAAATTTTTAAATTTAAAAAAGTTTTTAAATCTGAGGTGACAGAAATAAGGGCATGGCCACGGACACCAGACCTCTGGGATTGTCCTATGGTGTCTGCCACTGGGATGCAGAGTATCCATTGGGTTTTGTGGGTTGTGGGGTGGGGCTCCTGTGGCTCTGGCTTGTTCTGCTGGGACAATCAGATTGCGATCTTGGGAATTTGGTAGCAGGGTGCACTATCCTGCTAAAGAGAGGCTGCTGCAGCCGGGGAGGGCCCATGCTGTTACGGGGTGTGCTTGGTCTGCAAAAATGCTCCAGCCGGCAACAAGTGTCAGAGCCGCATTCATATGAATGGCAGGACCCAGTATTTCCCAGCAGTGTTACATTGTGAGGAGATTATTTTGATAATTTGATGTCGTGGTTTTAATATCGTGAGTAACTGGCATATTTATTATGAGATTTATTTGCTGTCTGCATAAAGGCTCACAAATTAAATACAGGCACACACAATGCAAGTACAAGGCCGACGCAAACAACAACAACAACAACAACAACAATATATCACGTGTCTTTACTGTTAAGTCCGTGGCGTATGTGTAGTTAGAGTCGGGCCTTTCCATGTCGCCAGGAAGCCCAAACTGTAGCTTCACCATTAAGTTATGGGGGAGGGGGGTTGGGCTTGTAGTTTGACGTCCCTGCCCCCTTTTCTGTAAACTTTGCAAAGAGTGAGCCGCCATTAAAAGCGGTAACAGTACGATGGAGTTAATAATGATAGGTACGGGCAGGAATTGAAATAACGGGCGCTTAAAAGTTATTTAAAAATAACGACACAGTAGTGACGTATAAGCCTCACAGTCGCAACCGTTAAAACGTAATAACAGCACAAGAAAATGGCGTAAAATGTCAAAACTTTAAAGTCACACAGCTTGCAGACATGCTAACATTACGTGGGCGATATTATCTTGAGCGGTAACTCGGGTATATGAAGGGACTTTACCGGCTAATGGAGTCGTGCGCACACGCGTAAAACATCTCAACTGCACTTACTTTTTCCACGTCGTGCAACAGCCGACCACCCAGAGACAGCCCGTTCCCTTTTAGAGGGGTCCTCTCGCTTTTAATCTCCGCCGCCGAGCCGCCGTCCATTACGTTTTTGTACGGCACGGCCCCGTTTGTGTACGCCGACATGGAACCGGTTTTTTCCACCGAGGGGACCCGGCTGTCGCGGAGCACCGAGCGGCCGGTCCGACAGTTAAAGTCCGCACCGCCAGCTCCTGTCCCAACCGACGACTTCTCCACAATATATTTGGACTCCATATTCAGACAAGGCGAGCAGGAGAAAGAAAACCAGCTTTCTAGAAATTTTAGTGCAAATTGCTGGAGTCAGATACATTTATTAGGATTGTCGCAAGTTGATGGGAACTGTCTGTGTCTTTACTTATATTCTAGCCTACATGTAAAGTTTTCCGCCGCCGCTGCCCCAAAAAGCCGCCCGGTCAGGAGGATAAAAGATTGTTTTGCCTCTTTCCTCCAAACGGCTGCCACGCCCCCTCTGCTCCACTCCTATTGGTGCTCTGCATATATAAACATTACATTCTGGCACGCGTCCACCGCAAAGCTGCAGGTGATTGGCTAGTTTCACTCTGTCAATAACAATTTTTTTCGAAGCTAAGTACTGTGGGTGGAAGAGAGAGAGGGGCGTGTTCTCAGTTTACCGGCCGGTGTCTGTCGACGCTGAGCCGGTCTGCGAGGGAGGCGAGGTCGAGAGAGTACAGGAAAAACAGCGTGCAGGCCTCAGCGGCTAACTGCGCATTTATAATTTTGCAATTCAAATGGCACTTTAGCGAGTTGCAAACTATTACACCTGAACTTCTCATTGTAGGCGAGTTATTATAGAAAAAAATGAATACACTGCTTTCTCCTTATAAGTGACTTGGCCTGCATTATTGGGGAAATGTATGCTAATTCAAAAGTTAGCATTTTGGAAAACTAACACCGTCCGGACACAGTAGCATGAAACACTGCAACTCACTGCAGTAAATAAGGTCATTTGCAGAAGCAAGGTACAGATTTATGGTGATTAATTCAAATCTGCGTAAGCTTGACTTGCACTGCATTGCACGAGAGGTTTCAGGTCATATTTCACCGATTCCTCTATTTTTACATGTCGTCCATGTGTCTGCTTCCTTTTTACAAAATGCCTTTTGAGTGTGGTCGGAAAGAAAAAAAAGATTTCAGCAACCTTTCTTCATTTAGCATAGCTCCTGTTATTGAACGATACAGTACACCTCCCAGCTGTTGCTGCTGTATTGCTTAATTTCTCACACAAAAAAGCATTTTTTTGTAAGCTGCACTTTCAAATGAGAGGCCGCTGCAGAGCAGGAACCAGGTGTAGTTTGAAAGCTGTCACAAAGCAATGAAACTACAGGCAAAACAAACACTTTCTGATGTGCCACTTTATTAGAAAAGTAAAAACTCACTTTAATATTTTATGAAGGTTAATATAAAACATTACAATCTTCTGCATACAGTATCTGCACTGTCACACTATATTTTAATATATGAATTATTTTGAAACTAAAACCTGTGCTTTAGGAACATACAACATTGGCTACAGCTGTCACAGCAGTATTGGCCCATATTTATATAAGAAGACAATTAAGAAACAGGGTCTGTATCTGCATGGAAAGCATGAAAGATTTTGCATCCACAAAGTACAATGTGTCTGTGACAACCATCTCTTTTTTTTTCAACAAATGTATACTGTATGTTACATTGCAACAACATCAGAACAGCAACAGTGTATTTTACACATTTACATCATCATACTGTATTTGTGCAATGAACATCTGTCTCGATGTGTGTATAACAACCAAACATATCCATCAGTGCTTTTTTTTCCTCTCGGGATAAAGGAAATGTGACACATTAGGTGACAGCCAAAGAAAAAGGATTAAGTGCAATAGCGGCTTCCAGCCGGCATTGTTTAAGGGAAGCTTCAGCGGAGCTTGTTAAGCGTCTCAGCTGTTGGCCATTTCTCACATTAGACAATAGTTGAGCCGAGGGTGCATTGTTGATATCGGACTGGGGTTGGCGTGACCCACAGCCTCTGCCCTCTTCCTCAACTTCCATTTCGCTCCCAGTCCCTCAGAATAGCACATCAAACACCTCACCTGCACAGCGAGGGAGGAAGGTGAAGCTAAGGAAAAAGAGGTCTGTATTATAGAATGAACACAGCTGGAAAAGGGAGCATTATGCAAGAGCTGACCAAATGTAAGCAAAATGTGCTTCCTCCCCTAAACTGGAGAAGCACATGGTTGAATGTTGCTCTCTGTGCACACACTAGAGGAGAAAGAGGAGGAGGAGTGTCCTGTGGGTCTGTGTCCATTTGCAGTGAGCCTCATCCAGCTTTATACTGCGTGTGCACCCTCACCCCCCACCCCCTCAACATGACACTTTCTTGCTCCCCCAGAGCAGAGAATAAACACAGCTCTACCCTAAACTCCCAGCGGCTCCTCCCTGTTAGCTCTCTTGCTCTGCTTTGCTCCTCCAAGTTGTTGCTTTGGAAAAACTGCTTTGAGTCACATGGCAAAAAAGAAAAACAAAAGTACAACAGAAAAGATTAACAAACAAGATCAGTTAAGTACCACAATATTTTTCATCTCGATATATTAAAGCATGCACTTTTTTTTGACCAAGCAGGAAATATTGCACCAACAACATAAACATACTGTTTTTATGGCAGTGGTATGAGCTATTCAACCAATAGAATTGTCAGTAGGTAAGAAAAAATAAACAGTGCATTAAAATACAGAGTGCATTTGTTTTTACATACTTTCTGACATTATTAATTTAATTTACTAACCTTACTAAACCTGTCTTCTCTCTGCATTTGGTCTCACAGTGAGATCAAATACATCTTATTACTCTCAGCCAGCGAGCAAGTTTGTATCCCTCTTCACTTCATATCTTTATGCCCATTTATTAAGCCTCAAATATTTTGTTTTTTCCCCTCTGTTCCTTTTTTTTCTTCAATGTTTCCCCACAGCTACATGGGAAAGACATTGTTTATAATGGAAGCAAACTCAGGACAGAGGCTGGAGACATGGGTGGGGAGAGGGGCAAACTTCCAAAAGACACTCGCTGGTCATTTTTATGCCCAGCTCTTTATTTTCCTTGGAATCCAAGACTTCTGTTGCTATTTCAACCACAAGACTTAAATCTGGTAAGCTACCGGGAGCTCTGGGTTTAACTTAAGTCCAGAAAACGAATCAGAGCTGTGCTTTTTACGGCACAATAATGCACAAATAAGCCCAGCAGTCCTGCAGCTGTCCAGCGCTAAATTACAATGGTCATAAAATCAGATGTTTACAGTGCCCAAAAGATATGACATTAACTGCGCATGATCAAGCATCCTGTATTATTTTGGACACTCTTTCACTTCCTTTTTTTTTTTTGAAAATATTTTTCTCTCTGTATTCACAATAATACTGTAAAAGTCTTGCATTGTGAAATCTATCATCCATATCACTCTTGGGAGATTCTTGCACAAGCCATTCAATACCCCTGACCTGATCACTTTTCCCTGCATCACTGCCAAATATGTGTGCATATGTGTGTGTGTGTGTGTTGGGGTGTGTCAACATGCCTCTAGCTACAGATGTCAAATTTAGGTGGATTTTTAGCTAATCTCTTCATTCAAGTGGAGGTTACACTATCGAGCCAAACATATGCGTCGTGATTATTAAGTGGGCTATTACCAAAAACTGCTAAAAAGCTTGGGTTGGATCATTTCTGAGGACAACATCCTTCACATTTAAACAGGTCTACAAATCATAAGTCAGTATTTGGACACAACACCTCAATCGCGTCTTCCAGGCAACAGGTCGGCGCACAATGAAAACCTGTTTCGAGTGTTTATTTTAGGGAGAGATAGCACCGCAAATCTCTGTGACATCCATGTGCTTAAGAGGAGGCGTGTACATGTGTGTTTGTGTGTGTACTGTGGACAATACGTTACAGTGTGCCTCACATTCCTTGTACAATATAGCCAGTTTCACTGCTACTACTATTTTTAGTTGCACAATGCATGCACATTTCTTTATATTATATTTTATTTATACTCAGGACAGAGTTAATACATATATATTAATCTTATATCTAATTATATATATATCTATATATGATATACTATATATTAATATATATATAACTATAATATATAATAAATGATTCCTCTCATATACTTATACTATCTATAAAGATGTGTTTCATTCTGGTTTGTGAGTTACACCACATATGCTTTAAAGAGTTTTCATATAAAAATAAAGATATTATGGAAAATGTTGCACAAACAGGTGACTATGGTGAGTGACACAGCAGATTGAAGATCTCTATCCCAGTTTTATTTGTTTGTTTGTTTGTTTTTTCAAATGATTTTAGTCCATATTTGGGCTGGACTAGGCTTAGGCTGGTTCTTAAGTACAGACCAATCAAAGGAAGTCTGAACCTGGATAAAGACCCTGTTTGTACCTGATTTCAACACAAAATGGATCCTCATGTTGTTTTACTATAGAGGGCCTTGTGTCTATGTACAGCAACCTGTTGTTCTGTAAACAGGAAAATCTCCAGACTCTATACCAGTGGGTTCTGGGCCCTTTTGCCTGTCAGTCAGCTACAGGCCTGTGACATACATCTCCATGCCATCATTGAAAGTAAAGATGGTGGTAGTGCTGTTGCCCCCTTGTTTCACATCACTGATGGTCTCATAGAAGTTTTCTCCACCAGGCAGGCCTCTAGTAGGAAGGGTGCTTGGTCCTGAGGCCTGAGGTGCTGCTGGTGTTGCCTGCTGCTGCTGCTGCTGCTTCTTTCTCTTCAGAGTGGCACTACCCCCAGCTGTGCTGTTATTGGTTCCCCCTTGCTCACGTTTCCGGTGTGGGTCGATAGTCGCGTATGCAGGGTCTGACTCAGCCACTGGGGAAGACCAGGACCTGTCTCCTACAGGCTCGTAGCAGGGTTCCTCCTGCGAACGTGCTTGGCTCTGGACTCCCCTACCTCGGCCCCGAGAACCCATGTTTCCTCTATCTCCACCAAAGGATCGTGGGAGGGTCTTGGCTCCATTGTGTTCCATAGGAGGTTTCTTTTTCTGGGTTTTACATACGATAGAGTAGGTGTCTGCAATCTGAGAACACACACAGTAGGAGAAGGAAGATGTTGTTAGTTAATAACGCTGCACTACAACTCTATCCTGTAGTCCACTGATGAAGCTATGTGTTGGTGAAAGTCCGTAACCACACTTGCACTGGCATTTAAATAGTCACCTCTTTCCCAGTTTCTGAGTTATCTATATGTAGCTCCAATATCTTTGTAATTACCCGTTTCTGTCCACTTCTGTATGCATTCCAGATATAAAGGTATAATTTGTGAATAAGTTGTTTTATATATACTACAGGCTCAGACAAATAATAATTGTCCGAGCCTGGACTGTGTACGTATGCAACAGTTTGTGTATGTGTTGACAGAGCTCTGTGCTGTGACC